GTAGAGTAGAGCAAACCGTATATTTTTTCACATGTATTTTTATACATGTTTAAGTGTATAGACTGTAGAGCAAGAGTTCTATAGAGACATAGAGTACAAGAAGGGTACTTTACACTTTACACATACACACACAAAAAATCATACTGGTAGTACCAAATGTACCAATTCACCATATTGAAGCAACTCCATTAAAAAGTCATGTTTCTTACAAATAAAGTCATGCTTCACCAAAATAAAGTCACGACTAACCAAAATAAAGTCATGATTAAGTGATTAACAACAATAAAGTCATGACTCGTGATTCAATTAAAGTCTTAAACATTAAAACTAGAAAATAAAACATGTGATTACTCTGATAAACATGCTAAAACATGATGAAATATACTAAGTGATAAACATGCTGAAACATACTAACTTCAATAACATGTGAATACCTTGGTATGACATGTGAATACTCTAGCCATCAATAACTCACACTTTAGTATTATTATAACTCCACAAGGCTGAGAGTATACTGTTCATGTCATGTTCAGTAAGTATTAACAACTACAACAACAAGGATATAAAACAAATAGGGATATCAAATGCCAAAAAAATCCATATGAAGAGAATTAGGGAAAACAAATAGGTGTTAAAAAAATTAAAAAATTAAAAAATTAATTCTAAGAAAAACGAACACTTATAAATTACAAAATTACTATCAGATGAATTTAATTAAAAAAATAGTCAAGTACAGTGAGAAGAATGACATACATAGGTGTTTGAACAAGGTCCCTAGCTGAAATTTGGAGAAGAAGGAGCGTAAACTCAGTAGAGTTCCAAACACAGGTCTGTGGCTGATTCCAGTTGTAAGGAGAGAAGACAGAGTAAGGCGCCCGGTCGTAGTAAAGCGTCGAAGTGCGGAGACGGAGTTATGTGACGGACAATCGATCGATCTCTTGTTAGAGATCTGGACGAAGAATCAAAACTCCACTATTGGCGACGGAGTTCGGTGATGGAGTATTGCAACGATGGAGTAAATCGTATCATCTTTGCTATGGAAGAAGATAGAGAAGATGATCGATTAGGGTTATGTTAGGTTAGTGTTTGCGTAAGAGAGTGTTTGCATAAGCGGATAAGAAAATGATTTTTGCGTAAGTGTTAAGTCCGTATTGAATAATAGTACGTGGAATAATAGTTCCCGGCCCGTATTGAATAAAAAAAGTGTCACTATTCGGTTGTAAATTTTTTTGTTAGAAATCAGTGATACTTATGTGTCATTAATAGTATTTTATTAGAAAGTGTCACTATAAAAGTGTCACTGTAAGCCTGTTTTTTAGTAGTGCGATACCGTCACTAGTAGGGAACTTCAGGCACAGGTGCTTCATGGAGATGATGGCCTCCAGGTCCTCTAGTGCCGGCCTCCCCCAGATCAGGTTGTGGGCGCACTCGAGGTTGACCACCATGAGCTCCATGTCAATCTTGGTGCGATGGGATCCGTCGCCGACCTCCACAGGGAGGACTATCGTGTCTTCAGCGTCGATAGAGTCCCCGGTGAAGCCGGACAACGATGTCCATATCGGCTTGAGCAGGGCTTTGTTCAGCTTCAGCTGCTTGAACGTGTCAAGGTACATGACATTGACGGAGCTCCCCGTATCGATGTAAGTGCGGTGGATGATAGAGTCACCTATCTCGCACCGGATGATGAGGGCATCCCTGTGTGATGCGGGTCCCGGAGGCAGATCCTTGTTGGTGAAGGTGATCGCCTCCGTCCGCTGCTTCTTCGGCTGGGGGGGGGGGGGAGCGTGGGACACCTCCCCGATGTAAAGGGATTGGGCCCATTTCTTCCTCTGGGTGGCTGAGTCCCCCCCCCCCCCCCCCCCCGTGTTGCCCCCCACGACAAGATGGATGTGGTTCTTCTTCGGAGGGGGCTCCTCGAACTCTTCGTCGTCATCGCTGAGTCTTCTTCGTTGTCAAATTTCTTTTTGTCTTTTGAGTTTAATTAAGTAATATTCATGGAAAAACGTCTTCTTAAAACATTTTTTTTTGAAGAATTCGGCTTATATTGACAACAGATAATTCATAGTATGGGTCAAATGACAAAAGGAAATCTGACAACTGCTATCCCATGAACCAGACTCGGAATTAATCACTTTCAAAGAAGCAATATAATTCGCTGATCCAAAAGTGGGAAACTTAAAGCCATAAATATAAATGGTCACCATATTCCTCTCATCCCCCACATAAAAAATCAACGTCTTACAAACAGGAACATAACAGAAAATACAAATAGCAAAGCAGACATAACCATCTCTGAAACAGAAAACAAAACAAAAACTAAAAAACTTCTGGTGCAGCAGACAAACTCGAATCGTTCCTCGGACCTGCGGCCTTCCATCTTCCGTCAGCGGCTTCGGTGAGCTTAAGGAGCAAAGCCCGCCTCCTCCCCGTTTTTTGTCCCATCCAAAGCCATAACATCTTCTTCTTGATCCTTCTCTGTCTGGATCTCCCTAATCTTCTTTTTCTTCGAAACCTCTTCTTTTGACTCCTCCCCGCCTCCTTTAGTAAAGCTTTGGGCTGATTCAGTCGTTACATCTTTCCCCTTTTCACCAATCGTGGCCTCTAATTTCTTTGCCTCTATATATCCACCCGATTTGCCAGAGCTCGATGAACCCTCCAGAAGCCATTTATGACCTCATGTAGGACTGGTATTCATCCTACTTCCTGCTCTAAGATGGATCCCAAATCTTTTTTCTAAAACTAAGCCTTCTTCATAATTTATTGGACAAAAATTATCTGAATGTCGAATAAAACCACACATAAAGCAAAAGTTTGGCAGTCTCTCATATTTAAAATCTACCCAAAAACTTTTGCCATCTTTTTTGAGGCTTGTCCCTTTCTTCAATGATTTATCCATCTTCATAAGGACCCTAACCTTAATATATGGCTCTAATTTATCACTCTTCTGAATGTCATCATATTTAATAAATTGCCCTATGAAATTTCCCACACGTCTAGCAGTACCCAAGTTAACAAGACTATAGGGAACATTATGAATCTGAACCCAAAACTCTGTCTCGTTTAGAATAATTTTGTGTGAGATATCATCAGGCCTAACTTCTTTTAACATCACAAGACTGCATTCAAATTGCCATGGACCCCCCTCAAGAACACGCATCATATCAAAACGATGAAAAAAGTAAACAAATACATTTTTTCCCCGATCTCCTTGACCGCCATACCCTTCCCTGGCCTCCACAATGATAACATCAACCTTTTAAAATCCGAAAATTTAAACTTCCTATCGGTTAATACCTGGCCGATCACCGAGAACTCTTTAGGGCTTGTCTTTGCCGGAACTTCCTCAACATCAGATCATCAAGATCAAGCTCCTCCGAATATGTACCGATCGACATCTGCTTGAAGCTATCAACAAAAGCTTCCATGTGCTCCTACTCCACCGCACTGCTGCTGCTTTGGATTCGGCCTTTGATCGCTGCTTCGCCAAAATCCTATCTAAATACACCAACCACCGACCTTAACCACCAATAACCCGACCTGGTGCTGCCTCAATCCACCAATTCGTCCAAACCAATCACCCTTCCCGCCAACCAATACCACACGCCCCTCAGAAAAACCAAGGGCGGACAATCCTTGTCTTCTTAAAACTTTGACAAGTTTAATCGACACGGAGAATAATAGTGATTAAAAAGTAAATTGATTAAAGTGTTTTGGACAAAAAAAAGGAAAAATGACAAAGTTTTAAAGAACATAAAAAAGGCCTAACAAATATTAACTAAAAAAGTTAAAACACATTTTCACGCAACAGTGATTAATACAAATTTAAAATAGAAAGCACAAATTTTAAATGCACAAGTGCATAACCAAACAACGCTATCAACAATTCAATACATTCACAATTTTAGTAGTTGACAATTACACGTATTATATTTAAAAAAAATAAAAATACATTAGTGCATTACAATAAGATAGCAATAAAGATGAATAACTAATTAATCAAGCAAATATTTAAACGTGTAATAATCAATAATCAAAATTGTAAAAGAAAAAAGTATATTCTATAAAATATTTTTAATTGGAATGAATTTTCTTGTTTAATTTGACCTAATTTGGTCTGGTCTGAACCGATTTGATAAATGTCCGTTTTATGTGTATTTTACAACTGTCGAAGTCTGATCTGATTTGATCTGTTTAAGTCTGACTCGGTCTGATCCGAGACTCGGTCTGATCCGAGACTGATACTCATCCATGTGAACTCATCCTAAGGCCGAAGAAATCAACGCATTAATACTTCAATGGGGAGAGTCTTGTCTTTTAATAATTTCACAGACATGATCCTAATTACTCGAGGGCCAAATAAATCAGCCTATTCACCCCCAAAAATCGAGTTTAATTCTTTTCTTTTGGGGTGAGTCTAGGCCCTGACCCTTGTTTCCCTTTAGAACTGCCTTTGTATCAAATTCCATCGGAAAAAATTGATCGGCTTATTTCATATCTTAAAGATTCAGGTCTGAAGTTAACAACTACTAAAAAATATCAAAAATATATATTTTCAAATTAACACTGAAATGAACGCTTCCTAAAATAAACAACTACCAAAACATTCAAAAATACTTTTTCAATCAGTGGAATCAAACATACACTAGTGAGTAATTCTTGGTGTACATCTTTTTTGTACACAGGAGAGCTGCTTGTGTAGTTGTGTATACTATAGATAGAAAACAGAGAGTTCACAAAGAACACAAAAAACGCTTATACTGAGTTTTTTCTATGTATGAAGTTGTCTAATTTTCCTTTTTAGGACGTATCAAATTAATTGTCTCATTTCTTTTTTTGGAAAGAAACTTACTCAAAAAACATTACCGCTACGGTACCAAAATCTCTTACTTTTGGTATAATTATCTTAAACTAACTAAGCAAACAGGTCGATTAAATAGACTTAGAGGGAGTACTTTATTTTATTATACCACTAAAAAAGCTTTGCAATCTCTTAAAACCAGCCACATGCAAACAACCAGAGGAGGCTACGCGCTTTCCTCTTCAAAATCTGTACATCATCAAAACAAGCTCCATCCAATTTTCCATTTTCCAGAAAAGTCTTCGTATCAACACCATCTCCATCTTGACTGCCCCACGCATAGCTTCTGGATCATTATTAAGTATTATTATTACGAATTGAGAACAGAGTGAGAGGCAGCTTGAAGGGATCATGGGTTGTTGCAACAGCAAGAACGCGGATACGAAAGCCAGCCGCATGGCTCGGTGGCGCTCCACTGGAATCGTAGCTTTATGCGACTCCAAACTGAAGGCATTCTTACATCTCCTTCCTTTTCATTTCCCTTTATATTGGTTTTGAATAGTGCAAGCTCCATATATATGATTGGTACTACGTAGCTATTAACGATTGAATTTGCTGGTAGTTCTAGTTGTAAAAATCGAAGCTTTTTTACTATCTGCCCGACTGCCCCACTAAGATCGAGATGTGGGATGATTATTATTAAGATAAATGTAATTATGTAGATGTTATTGAATATTTGAAGTGCATATATGAATAAAAACACACATATATAACTAAATATGCCATGAGACATGTTAATTTGGACGGACTAAAATAGAAAGATGGGATAAAGATACAGGGATGGAGGGAGTATTTATTTATTTATTTTTATGGTGAGGGAGTATTTATTTGTTTGGAAAATAAGTTATTGGAGAAGTTTTGAAATTTAAGTCTTGATTAGCTGCACTTGATGAATCAACAGGCACATATGTCGTGTGTTCTGCAACTATACTGTGTTTTAGATTGTTTGAAGCTAATTTTCAATTAGATGCTAATGTTCAGTACCTCCCAATATAATGGCTAATCACTAATCACCTTAACTGAACTATATAATTGTAATCTGATTTTGAAGAGATAAACTGGGCTTTACAACAACAACACAAACTGGTCTTTAGCTATGAAATAATATATCTGTGGTTATTTCACGAAGAATGATGATTGATAACACGTTAGCACTGGAAAGACTGGTTAGCAGATAAGACTGCTGAAGGCTTTCCTTATAAAAGTATTGTATATCAATTACAAGAGACTGACTTCTATAATTCTCTTCACAGTCATTTCCAGATGAAGTGCTTGGCTTAGAGAGATCTGTGCGCACTCTTGATTTGACATGCAACAGAATAGGTATTTGTTTAGTACTTTAGTTTCTAATGACTGCAATCGTCATTTTTTTTTCTTCAATCATTTTTTCCATTTTTGGGCTTCATGGATTCAAGGTACTCTAGTTGCTTATTCACTAAATATGTACAGGAGTTTACTATCAGATTCATACACGCGTATGGTTTTCTTATTCACGAGACATATCTTTAAAAGTTCATATCATGGAGTTTTATTGTATACCCTTTTCAATCTTATAAATTGTATCCTTTTACTTCAACAGTTGATATTCCTCTGGAGATTAACAAGTTAATGAACTTGCAGAGGCTGGTAAGAGGACTTGCATAAAACTGCATTGTCTATATTTATTGCATTCTCTTGGGTATGCATTTCTGTATGGACTTATACGTTCATTCAGACTTTAACAAAGCACTGCCTTTCAGATTTTGGCTGATAACCATATAGAGCGCCTTCCAGTGAATCTGGGATTGCTTCAGTCCATAAAGGTTCTGAAACTTGATAAGAATCGAATGAAAACCTTGCCTGAGGAATGTAATACTCTTTGCTCTCAAGCAAGGGCATTGCCCTTTTATTGTCCTCTTGTTCTTCATATTTGATTTTCTGAATATACAAGTACGATGCTTTTCTTTTTGTTTTGTGAGTAGTAGAGTTCAAGGCTCTACTTTCCTGATTTTACTAACTACTACGGTATCCATTTGTTCAGTGGGCCAGCTAGTGAAGCTGGAACGCTTATCTGTCTCAGAGAATTGCTTAGTAAACTTGCCTGATACGATTGGGGGCTTACACAATGTGAGTTCCTTCTAGCTGGGTTTTTTACATCTAGTCAAGGCTTTAAAATCTGCTCTTCTTATGGACTTATTTTGTAATATTAAGTCCAATTGTTTTCCTTTATGTGTGTCTCCATGCTTTACCTCTATATGGCATGATTGGTGTGTGGGCTATGAGGAATGAATGGACACCTCTTTGGGATAGTATTATCTCAAAGAAAATGTTGATAAAACGAAGAGACATCATTAATCTAGGATTTATTTTCCTTATTATTACTGTAATTATGTGTCTTTAGTGCTTCAGGTTGTATTTAATAGCTGCTGTCTTTTCAGTTCTCAATCATTTATGTTTAGTATTTAGACAGTCACCTAGGGTGCTGAATAGACTCTCTCAGGATTCCTATCTGTATAAATAGCTTATGTACTTCTTGTAAATGAATTCAAGGAAATAATATTCAGAAAACTTCATGGTATCAGAGCTTGGTTTTGTCTAAGCCTTTTTTGAGTCTATCACCTCTCCAACGGTCATTTTTTGGGTGTCTCTACCCTTCTCTCTCTTTAACTCCCGGTGGAGTCTCTTCATCAAGGGTTTTATCATGTCTAAAGAAGCCGAATCAGCCTCAAGTAACCTTGATCACTCAACCATTGTTTCAGCTGCTACTGCAGCCGCATTTGCTCTTCGAAACTAGAAATTTGATCTCCCTTCTATCCCGCCATCTTACCGTCTCAATGGCAGGAACTATCTTGGGTGGTCAAAGCTGGTTTACACTCTCCTACGTGGCAAAGATCTTGAAGACTATCTCACTGTCTCTACCCCAGAAGAAGGAGAGATTGATGCTGCTAATTGGGAGAAAACTAATGCCAACATACGGGTCTGGTTATGGGACTCTATGGACCCCAACATTAGCAGTACATGTTTATACATGGACTCGGCTAAAGAAATCTGGGATTTCATACAGCAGTCCTACTCTGTTGCTAAAGATGGCGCTTTTTTCTATGACTTATGGCTCAAAACAACGAATCTTAAGCAAGATTCACAATCTGTCACAGATTATGCAACTGACCTCCAACGACGATGGTCTGAACTTGACCAGTATCAAACGATGAAGTGGTCGAATGCTGCAGATGCAGCTCTTCACAAGAACTATATAAATCAGCAACGTCTATATTGCTTCTTGTCTGGTTTAAATCCCGAATATGATCAGACTCGGGGTCAAATTCTTGGCATTACTCCTCTGCCTTCCATATCTTCTGCCATTGCCACTATCAAACATGAAGAGAGCAGACGCAATATAATGATGAATACAAATCTGATTGACAGTACAGCTCTTGCTGCCAAATCTACTCCTTCAGATGTTAAGGAAACTAAGGGTAGTAAGGGAGGAAGATGGTGTGATCATTGCAAGCGGTCCAACCATAATGTGGATACATGCTGGAAACTTTATCCTCATCTACAGAAAGAAAAAGCCAGGACAGACGTGGAACTAGTGCTGGACGTGCCAACTCAGTCACTCCCACTATTGTTGAGAGCTCTACTAATCTTTGGCCCATTTCCCAGGAGGAATTAAAGCAAATTCGTATGATGTTACAGTCTCTTAATAACTCAAATGGTTCTGGTCATAGCTCTTTGGCCCTGCAAGGTAAAACCTCTACTATTTTTTGTCTTAATGCTTCGGAACAGAGTTCACAATCCCAATGGATATTAGACTCAAGTGCCACATCTCATATGACTGCCATACCCTCTTTACTCTCTAATTATCATCCATGTTTTACATCCACACACATTACTACCGCTGATGGGACACCTACAAAGGTTGCGGGACTTGGTACGGTTTTTTTTTCTGAAAAATTAAATCTGAAAAACACCCTACATGTCCCAAACCTGGCTATGAACCTTGCTTCTATTTACAAACTCACAGTTGATCTTAATTGTGCTGCCATTTTTTCCCTTCCCACTGTTTATTACAGGATCTACACACGGGGAGGACGATTGGAATTGCTAAACAAAGAGATGGCCTGTACTACCTTGATGCACTGTTTGTCTCCAAACCTCCACAAAAAGCTCTTACCACAATCACAGCCAATACCAACACTATTTGGCTTCACCACAAGCGTCTTGGTCATCCCTCTTTTCATGTCCTAAAAACCATGTTTCCTAGTCTTTTTAGTAGTATTGATGTCTCTACATTTCAATGTGATGTCTGTGAACTTGCTAAACAGTCTCGTGTATCTTTTTCTAGAAGTAATACAATCAGTTGTTCTCCTTTTGATATTATACATAGTGATGTCTGGGTCCTGCTCCAATTGTTAATATATCTGGTGTCCGGTGGTATGTTACATTTATTGATGATTGTACACGTTTTATGTGGGTTTTTTTGCTAAAAAACAAGAGTGAGGTGAGTTCCATCATTCCTATCTTTTGCAATATGATTCATAATCAGTTCTCCGCCACAATAAAACGTTTCCGCACTGATAATGCTCTTGAATACTTCAATCAAACTGTTTCCTCTTATTTCCTCTCAAAAGGCATTGTTCGTGAGTCCTCTTGTCCGTACACACCACAACAGAATGTCACAGCAGAAAGAAAAAATCGCCATCTCCTAGACGTCAGTCAGGCTTTATTGTTTCAATCAAATATGCCTAAACACTATTGGGGGAAGCCACACTCACAGCATGTCATCTCATCAATAAAATTCCCAGTCGGGTACTCCAAAATAAGTCACCCCTTGAATCTCTCCGTCACTTCTTTCCTCAAACCAGAATTTCTTCTGATCTTGATCTAAGGGTGTTTGGGTGTACTGCATTTGTTCATATTCCTCAACCTCAAAGGGGAAAATTGGACCCACAATCTATTAAGTGTATCTTTCTTGGTTATTCTCCAACTCAGATAGGATATAAGTGCTATAATCCTACAACCAGAAAGACATACACCAGTGCAGATGTGACCTTTCACGAAGACACACCTTTTTACACTCCTACTTCTCTCCCTGTATCCCAAGATACTCCACATCCTTCACCTCTGCCCACCTATACTATTACATCTTCTCCACCACATACAATCTCCTACCCTCCTAAGCCTTTATCACCAGACATCCCATCACCACCACCACCACCACATGATCATCCATCACCTTCCTTAGATGTGTCAGCAACCTCACCTACTTCCCAACAGTCTTCAACATCACCTGAACCTCAATCAAATACACCACCAGACCATCCCATTCCTACACCTACTAAATCCACCACTCATGACCCATCTTCTCCTCTACCAGTGACAAAAGTGTACTCAAGGAAAAACAGGTTCACTCCATTGTTGACGCATGACCAATTGGCTGACCCAGGTAATGTCTCTTCTTCTCCACCACCATCTCCGCCAATTGCTTTACGCAAGGGTGTACGTCAATGTACCAAAACACCTCTATACCCTCTTGCTAATTTTGTTACCATTGATAACTTCTCTCCTTCACATGCCTTGTTTGCTCAGAGACTTAATGAAATTCCCATACCCAACTCTGTTTCTGAGGCATTAGGAAAGAAAGAATGGAGGGATGCTATGCAAGAGGAAATTAGAGCTCTTGAAAAGAACCATACTTGGGATATTGTGACTAAACCTCCTGGGAGGCATGTTGTTGGTTGTAGGTGGATCTTTACTGTCAAATACAAGGCTGATGGATCTCTTGAGCGGTACAAAGCTCGTCTTGTGGCTAAAGGATACACTCAGACGTATGGGATTGACTATCAAGAGACCTTTGCTCCTGTAGCTAAGCTCAATACTGTCCGTATCCTACTATCCTTGGCATCTCACTTTGATTGGCCTTTATTGCAATTTGATGTCAAGAATGCTTTTCTCCACGGTGACTTGCATGATGAGATCTACATGTACATTCCCCCAGGCTTTAATAAAACATCAACAAGAACCTCTACACATGTATGTCATTTAAGAAAAGCCCTCTATGGTCTCAAGCAATCCCCTCGTGCTTGGTTTGACCGTTTCACACAGGTTGTTCTTGCTGCTGGGTATAGTCAAAGCCAAGGGGATCATACTCTTTTTTACAAACACTCTCGCCCAAATGGAATCACTATTCTTTTAGTATATGTGGATGACATCATTGTGACGGGTAATGATCCAGTTGAGAAACAACGTCTTGAGGGGCAGCTGAAATCCAAATTCGAGATGAAGTCTCTTGGCCCTCTAAAATACTTTCTTGGAATTGAAGTTGCTCGCTCATCTGAAGGCATCTTTATCAGCCAACAAAAGTACATTACAGATTTGTTAAATGAGACTGGTAAGAGTGCTTGTCGACCGGTTAATGCACCTATGGATCCTAATCATAAGCTTGGACTTGCTACTGATGAACCCAAGGTTGATTCATCAATGTATCAGCGCTTGTGTGGCAAACTTATCTATCTCTCTCATACTAGACCTGACATTGCCTATGCAGTTAGTGTTTTGAGTCAGTTCATGCATGATCCAAGGAAACCACATCTAGAAGCAGCCTATAGGGTTCTTCACTACCTAAAAGGAAGTCCAGGGCAAGGGATAATATTCAGGAAGGGTGGGCAATTATCAGTCCAAGCCTTCACTGATGCAGATTATGGTGGCTCCCTCGTTGACCGTCGGTCAACTACTGGTCTCTGTGTTTTCCTAGCAGGAAACCTCGTGACATGGAGAAGCAAAAAAACAGAATGTTGTGGCACGATCATCTGTTGAATCTGAGCTAAGAGCTGTTGCCCATGGCTTATGTGAACTTCTATGGATCAGAATTATTCTCTTAGATTTACGAATCAAATGGAAAGGACCAATGGAATTGAGGTGTGATAACAAATCAGCAATCAACATAGCTCATAATCCAGTCCAACATGATCGGACCAAGCATATTGAGATTGATAGGCACTTTATCAAAGAAAAGGTTGAAGGAGGTCTGATCGAACTAAGCTACACTCCTTCAGAAGATCAAGTTGCAGATGTGTTTACCAAACCTCTGCACAGTCCTAGGTTCCAGGGTCTTATTGTCAAGCTAGGCATGACGGATATCTACAAACCTAGCTTGAGGGGGAGTGTTGATAAAACGAAGAGACATCATTAATCTAGGATTTATTTTCCTTATTATTACTGTAATTATGTGTCTTTAGTGCTTCAGGTTGTATTTAATAGCTGCTGTCTTTTCAGTTCTCAATCATTTATGTTTAGTATTTAGACAGTCACCTTTTCCATCATTTGCAATGGAGCCAAAGATTCATTATTTTTTGGCTTGAGGTTATGATGGAATAAAGCAAAATGGCTCACTAAACTGTTTGCGCTTCTTTGTTATGGAGCAGCAGTCAGTCAATGCAATCTTGGACGCGATTTTCACTATGGGTCATCCGGAAACAGTCTCTCTGTGCTTTAGTACAGGGGTAAGACTGCGTACATCCGACCCCCCCTTACCCCACCGTAGGTGGGAGCCTTTGCGGCACTGGGGTAAATGAAAATGTTGTATTTAGACAGTCACCTAGGGTGTTGAATAGACTCTCTCAGGATTCCTATCTGTATAAATAGCTTATGTACTTCTTGTAAATGAATTCAAGGAAATAATATTCAGAAAACTTCAGAAAATTTTTAGGCGTCTAAATATGTATAGTGCCCCTTTCTTGTTCTTGTAAAAGACATAAGCCCTCCATCATCGCCTTTCTGGTTCCCCCTTTAGTTCCAAATCTCATCACCAACTACAACTATGATTCTGGATGCTGCATGGGAACATTTTCTCAATTTTGTTAAATAAGGGCTGTGGCAGAATGGCATGGAGAACTTTGTGCAATATGACAAAGTTTTCTTCATTGGCCATCCGCCAGGCGCCAACACTGCATTTCTTACTTAATTGTAATGCATGCTGCTAAAGTGAAGCTTAAAATGTTCCAGTCCATTTTGATGGAAATATGTAGTATGCTAGTAGCCCTTGATGCAGTTGCTTAAGGTGAGGTATCCTAGACTTGAAAAAAAGGAAATTAAAATCCACAATTCATCACTAGTTTTATTATGATAACATATATTCCGTATTCACTATTCATGTTCCTACACATTTATGCTTGCAAAACTAACACCCACTTTCTTGGACTATATGCAGTTAGTCCTATTAAATGTGTCAAGTAACAAGCTGCAATATTTCCCAGAATCCATCGGAAAGTGTTCCTCTCTTGAAGAATTGCAGGCAAATGGTAGTGTATGATCACTCTTTGTAGATATCCCTCTCTCCCTATATATATACATTTAATTTTATATGTATGTATGTATTGTTGAAAATAATTGAAGGAAGATTGGGAAAACTAGGAGGCTAAAGTGTAAATGGCCAAAAAACAAGTTTACTTTTCAACACGTATATATGTGTATGTACATATATAGATATATAATTTTGTCTAGCCGCATTGTCAGTAATGGAAGTTGGTCCATAGTCTTCTACTCTTCTCTAATGATTAGTGAAGTAATTCAATGATCAGGAAACAAAGGAAGTGCAGAAGTTTCCTTTTAGAGCAAGAAATACTTTCCGTAAAGCTGTCTACTTGTCCAGTATGGGTTTGCAAATTCTTGATTGGTCCACATGATGTCTATGTTATCAGTCTATCATACTGACACACTCCTGACATTGCAAGAAGATGCAATCACTGATGATATACAGCAGGCCAAGCATTGATTTGCTGACTCATATTTTCATATTATTCAATATCTTCAACTGAATCTAGCACAAAGCGTGGACTATTTCCTTGTGATCATGGATTTCTTTTGGGATTTGATTCGCTTAGCTAGTTGTCCACTAGACCTCCCTTTCTGAACCAAACAGAATAGCCACCACAATATTATGAACACAACAATTTATCTGAGATTTCCATTGCTCCGCTACTGCCAATAGCTCTCTCTCTCTTCATTAGGTGTTAATGGGACACATAGCCTTTTTCTTTTAGAAATTATTGATACCAACAAGTATTGACCCCTGAGCCACATGCATAATTGTGTGATCACAATAGCTTATTCGTTCCCACGATTGGTATATATATTGTAATGCTAAATAATATTGCAAGTATACTAGTAATATGTGAAAACAACAACTAGGTTTCAAGTACTTTTATTCTAGGAAGCACAATGTTGAGAGCAGAAAAATAAAAATCAACAGGGTAAACCGTTGACCAGATAATCAACGATAAAAACCGTTGCACAAAGCCAAAAGGCTGAAATTCAACTTTATTTCAAGATAACCAAGAATGAACCCTGACAAGGGGTATAAATAACCTTCTAGTAAGAGACTCAACAGAAACCTTAATCGAGCCCAAATTAATTAAAACCTAATTAGGACCAAATTAACTCTAGTAACTACTCTACTAATAATAGGCCCAAACTAGCAAACATAACATAAACTTTATAATAATAAATGAAACTATAATCCTAGCCCACAGCCAGCCCACGGAAGTGGGCCCAAGCCCGTTCTCGCCCCTTGCTCTCCCTGCTCTCTATCACACAGGTACTCCTGAGACATGGGGGCAAGCCTAAAATGTGGCCAAACTTTCTTTTTTAAATACATGGACACATGACGGACACGGCTGAAGCTTTTTGAAAAAGAAATGGAGATGTATCTTTTCACTATAACCCATGTATTGGACTAAACTGCTAAAACATAAACCATATCTCTCTTATTTCACTCCCAGCCTCTATCTATGAATCTATTTTTATTCAACTATTCATCACTCATCGACTCTTGTCATTCCTGCCATCGAAGAAAAAGCACTAGATGTTACACCATCTCCCCTTTTTCATTGTTGCTGCAGTCCCTACAATAATTATCCACTTTTGCTCTGTGTATTCTTCTTCAGATGATGTAACATTGGACATCATTGGTATTTTTTATTTTGTATCCAATATTTGAATGCTTCAAATTCAATGTTTAACTTTAAGACTTTGTGAACTTTCCACATCATTAGTAATTTTTACTCCGTGTTTTATATAAAATTATTGTGGACGTTATATATCAATGAAGTTATGAAATATTTATAGAACTTGTTGACCCCCCACTATACCCGTTTCTCATATTGTTAATCAAAGCCGTTCATGGCCCCTGTAACTGGCAGCCTGGCACAATACCTGTTTCCGTGCTTCACAGCCTTTAATGATCTGACGTTATTGTTCAATTGCCATGGAATGATGAAGCAGCTTTTGAGGACTGATGTTGTTTGTAATTACTCACTTCTTTGATTTGACATTCTCAGTCTTGTTTTCTAGTTTTTCTTAGGTTATGACCAGAGAGCCCTTTTGGCCTTTCATCATATAGGTCTGATTGTTAGATGTATATCAACTTTCACTGTCCCCCAAAAAAACGTTTTGTGAAAAAAACAGCCTCTCCTAATGCTTCATCATAACCAAGTATTCAATGGAAGAATTGTTACAACAACACTGATCCCAGATTTATTGTGTTTATAAACTTTTCTACTTTGTTCTCTTAGAACTTATTTGTAAATTCTAATTAGTGCATTGTGACTAATGTAGGCATGTAGTATTATGAGTTTGAAGACTTCCTTAGGATGGATCTCTCTAGCATTTTCTCTTCCGATACCTTTTTTATTACGTAGTAATTTTTTTCATTATCATGATTGTAAACTATTGTCACAGATAACTCCATTGAAGAACTCCCTGCTTCTGTTTGTAGCCTTGTACATTTGAAGTCACTTTGCTTGAACAATAACAATCTTGTACAGGTGTTTGTCAAATATCTCCATGGTTTAAGCAAGAATGCTTCTGAAATCTGAACACCACAAATAATCAAGTATCCTCTATTTACATATAAAATATAAACCTCACCATGTATCACATTTTGAGTTCTGACGTGCAGAACTTTACTATACAATTATTTATTTTACTTACTCCAAATGCCATGTTCTAAATGATAAAGTTTTTATTTAATAAAAGTTCATTTTAAAGTAACTCTCCATCTTATTTTTAAAAGTAGATGCAAGGCATAAACCACTAGTATTTCCGACATGTCTAGATGTAAGAAGTTATAGTAGTTGATAACCAGTGTGATGTCTTTGGTTTGGCAGATGCCTCCAAATTTTTTACGAGAGTGCAAGAATTTACAGAACATATCCCTTCATGGAAATCCTATTTCTATGGATCAATTTCAACAGGTAGATTCTTCTATTATTTGATGCATTGTTCTATTTGATGTTTCTTACAGATGTCATCATAACATCCTAAGTAAATGTTAATATTATTTTCATCTGCAGATTGAAGGTTTTCAAGAATTTGAAGCTCGGAGGAAAAAGAAAGTTGATAAACAGATTGATTGTAATGTGATTATCAGTCATAATGGGCTCGATGTGGGGGTTGACCAATGACATCTCTGCAAGAGGATAGGTGTGTTGGTTTTTCATTACATTTTTTAGTAATGTTAAATGCTTAAATGTACCCTCTGGTGTTACTTTTACCCAAAATACAGCGGAAAGAACATTTTAAGCCCCTGAAAGTGACATGGCAGACTCATCGAGTCCATCATCTGTTATTTTAAAAAAGTTACATTAATGTTAGGATTAATAGGGTAGGAGGTAGATGAAAGACAAAGGGTGGTGGTTTGATTAAAACATGTTCATCATCCAAAGTTATCACTAGAACATTCCTAGTGGTGGTCCTTAACATTCATTTTTCCACTTTTGGACCCACGTCAATGGATATTATCTCAACGACAACAAAAACATTACCCCAGTGCCGCAAAGGCTCCCACCAATGTGGGGTAAGAGGGGTCGGATGTACGCAGTCTTACCCTTGTACTAAAGCACAAAGAGATTCTTTCCGGATGACTCATGATGAAAATCGTGTTGAAAATTGCATGGAATGACTGTTACTGCATAACAAAGAAGGGCAGACAGTTTAGTGAGCCATTTTGCTTTATTCCATCATATTTTCCAAGCAAAAAAATAGTGAATCTTTGGCTCCATCGGAAATGATGGAAAAGTCAATGGATATTATCTGGATACTAAAAAATTGATCAGGTAAGTGGGCAGAAGGACCATAAGTGACAAAAAATCTATAACCATGGGGCCAAAAGTGTAAAAATAAAAGTTGACCAAAAGTAAGAATGATCATAGTCATGGGACCAAAAGTCGAGTCAGTTCATAAGCATGTGATCTAGTTTCTCGTTGTATAGTATTTGATATAATGACCTGATTTCCTTAAGTTCATTGTCCCTTGTCTTTGTTTCTCAACTGGTACACTTAATCCTCTCATGTTAAATTTACTTCGTGCCAGTTGAACTAGAGCACCATGAACCTCCATGATGACCTGTGATTAAGCGGCGCTGCCTGCTCATTTCCTCAACCTTGATCCTAATGGTTTAGTATTCCGCCCTTCCATGACATATAATTGTGCAGTTAGCCAGTTAGTTACTCATTTTCACATGGATTGTAAATCAAGTCCATCCTGTGCATTTTCCTTGGTGGTATAGCTTTTTATTCATTAATCCCCTCCATTACATTATTTAATTTATGGCTTGCTCATTCAGTGAGTCATGGCTGAAGATACTTGCTATTATATTTTTGTTGTATTTAATACGGAGTATATTATAAGCAAATACAATTAATTAACATCTTTAACTTATTAACTTCATCGAAATTTTACAAAACAAGCTGCAACTCTGTAAGATGACTGTGTATGATTATTATAAAAACGAGCTAAAAAGAATGTTTAGTTTAACTAATGAGGGCATTTGGTAATTATACATTGAAACTTTATGTGCATAAGTGTAGATCTGCAACCAGTTCACATTTAAAATCACATTGTGTTGTTTGTTTCGCACCCCTCGTGTAATCTTATACTTACACGAGACGATGCTATACTCCGTACCCTCCACTTCACATTTTAGGTGATTACTATACACACTTTAGTTATTAATCAGCAATACGAAGTGAATTCTATCATCCCATCATTTGAATAAATCCTTCTATAATATAAAGTAACAGTTTTTGTATCACAATTGGAGAGAAAAATCTCGCCCAAAAGAGGGGTAAAAATGTAATGTGTGCTGGAAATATATTCTCTCGGCCAACATATGGGTGCTTGAAAATTTTTTCATTAATAGAACATTTATTACCCATTATGTTTGCCTAAATTATTCTTCGTATGTGTACTGAATTGAATATACTTGGCAAAGAAAGAGTCAAATCGTGTGCAAAAATATAGAATCTTGAATGCTTTCCTTTTGTGTTCAATTACATGCCATATGATATCATTGGTATGGTAATATTGATCTAATTTTAACTGCAATATTACATGTCAAAGTGGAATTTAGCTATACAAGGTAGTACATCTAATTTAGTAATTAATTTTTCTCTCATTCATTAATAATAGCTGTAATAGTAATAATAATAATAACAAAACAATAATCTTTATATAATATAAAGTAACAGTTTTTGCACCACAATTGGAGGGGAAAATCCCGCCCAAAAGAGGGGTAAAAATGTAATGTGTGCTGGAAATATATTCTCTCGGCCAACCTATGTAACTTAATAAATTTATACTTTTATGATAGTATTTTTAACAACGAACACTTTAATATCATTTTCATATTATGAATAGTAACATATATAAATATATAATCGATCAAAGTTTAATATCATTGAATTGAAAAATAGTATTTGGTTAAATAAAGAGAAAAGGGTCAAATAAGGTCTTCTACTATTACAAAATAGTCACATAAGGTCATCTACTCAATAAAGTGTCATATAAGTACTTCTACTTGTATAAACTATAAAGCAATCAAATGAGTCCTAACGGCTTATTTAACACCTCTTAATCCCGATTTTAGTTCACGTGTCGATTTTTTTGACTTGTATTTCAACCAATCTTAGTTAAATATTTAACATATGTCGTATAATGTATTCTAAAAAGATGGTCAAAAGTACGTTGAAACCGGGATTAAGAGGTGTTAAATAGGTCATCAGAACTCATTTGATTGTTTTTTAGAAGTAGATGTACTTATATGACACTTTATTGAGTACATGGCCTTATGTGACTATTTCATAATAGTAGAAGGCTTTATTTGACCCTTTTCTCTTAAATAAAAAGGGATGAGAGGAGTATAATTTAAAATAAGTTTTTATGTGATACTCTAGATATACTATAAAAAGGCAGCTTATCAACCGAACCTTGCATAATTTCAAGATTAAAGACTTGATTCACCATTACAGTTTGACGCTTTGAAGTTTGAACCAATGGAAAATTTATTACTAAAAGTTCAATAGCTAAAGTACTCTCGTCTTTTAATTAAGCTTTGGACAACTTGTGGCAAAATAACAATAACAATGTTTAATTAGTCTATAAACTTGGAGGGGAAATATGGGATGTTTATAGTAGTGTTGGACTAGTACTGGGCCGACCGGTCCGTGAACCGGACCAGTCGGCCCGTGAACCGGATCGGCCCGGGGACTTAGGGCGGGGTGATTCCGGGCTGCCTTTCCTTTGGAACCGGCCGGGCCCGGTTTGGGCTTTTTTTTGTTTTGTCAATTTTTTTTTGTTTTCCCTAGATGGGCTAGGTGTTTTGGGGGAGGGTGGGGGGGGGGGGGGTCGGGGGTTAATTAGAAAAGCACAAAAAAAGGACCGGCCCGGACCAAGTGGAAACTCGGGCCGGTTCTGGGCCTTCCCCCAACATTAAAAAGCCCGGGCCGGCCCGGAACCGCTCCATGGCTAGTTTATAGAGTAAATGAAGTATTTGTAATATTCATACATAGGATTGGGAGTGATGGAGTATATGGCCCGGGAACCCCCGACCCACAGACTCCTACTACTCCAATAAAGGCCTAACAGGTCCAGAAAGCACAACAGGCCCAAATCACAGCGTCCAGAGTATCAAGCAGCCCACAATGCGCACCAGGGGTGCCTTCGGCCCCCTGGCCGAAGGCTCTAACTCTCACAAAAGGGCCAAGACAGGAAAACAAAGTTACTGGGGAAAACGGCGAAAATCAGTAGCCCTCGGCACCTGGAGCCCTCGGCACCAAGGGGGTCCCCGGTACTCAGAGCCCTCGGCAGGTCCTCTACAGCCGAGGGCGCCTCTTCCGACACAATATCCGCTCCACATGCGTACAGATCATCGTACCCTGTACAACGTCCCATCCAACAGCCGCATTAAATGTGGCCAAATGCGGTTGCCAGTGCCAACCAGTTGAGGTGACCCCTCGGCCAATGAACGCTTGACACGTGTCCCTGTCCGGCATTTATTGCTACTATAAATAGCACCCCATTTCCCTATTTGTAACCACGCTGAAAACGCTGAACACTCTCCAATATACTTTCTCTCTCTATACTTACTTGCTCTGACTTCTCTCTTGTTATTCCCCGTAATAACCCCTCGGATAAGCTACCCCCCGGGTACACTATCCATCATTTGGTGCTCTCGTTGAGAGCTCGAACAATCAAGTAAGAAACCCTCCCCCTCGACCAAACACAAAAACACCCATCTAAAATGGTGAGAACAACTCGTGCCAACTCCAAGAATGTAGAGGACGGGAACCTGGCCCTCAGCGAGGTCGACGTCCCCAAAGCCTCCAACAGGGCTCCCGGGGGCGGCGTCATCGCCGGGTTGGACCAGACGGCTGTTGACCTACGCCAGCAGATTCAACAAAACGCCCCCGATGCCCGCCTCGGCATCGAGGCCAAGAAAAAGGACCGGAGCGAAAATCAAATTAGCCCTCCGGTCATTACCATCGACGTTCAATCGGCGCTCTCCGCCTTCATCCAGACGCTCACTCAGAACCCAGGTGCCTTCGGCACTTTGGTTCCCCTCCAACCTCAGGTGGGGGAGAATATTATGCCTCCCCCTCATTCACGACCCCTCGGCCACCCGGTCCTCCGGATGGGGAACTCCGAGGGGGTCGTGGCCCAAGATACGGCCTCTCAGGAAGTCCAGTCCCGGAACCGCCACAACGTGAACAAGGAACAACTCCGGACCTCCGCCCTCGAGAGGCTCGGAGGGGCGCAAGACCGCCTCGGGGTCCAAGACCGCCTCGGGGGGGAAGGCGTTCCAAAGGCCTCAGGAAAGTGGCGGGTCCGTCTCCAGGGCCAATGAAAGGCGTCCCCCTCAGGACAAAGGCAAGGCACCTCTCCATGCCGACGACGCACGCCATCAAATCAATCAAGCCCACTCGGCCCGGGTCCATTCGCAGGGGGCGGAGGCCCTCCCGAAGGACCCCCAGGACGAAATCATTGCGGCCCTCCAGCGCCGGCTTGACGAGATGGAGGCCACCAAAGCCCACACCGCCACTTCTGCCCCTCACACAGACCTCAAGTATGAGGCAATGATGGCCAAGATGGAAGAAATGCAGAAGAAAATAGCCGAGGGCTCCGGGGAACCCACCATACAGCTCCGGACCCGGACGCCGTTTACCCCAAGGGTATTGGCTGCCCGGATCCCGGAAAAATACCGAGGGCAGCTCATCAAGCCCTATGACGGAAAGACTGACCCCCAAGAACACTACAACAGGTATCAAAACAGCATGATGATGGTGGGGGCATCGGATGAATATTTGTGCCGCTGGTTCCTCTCCACCTTAGAGGGGCCGGCGTACGAATGGTTCAACCGATTGCCCGAGGGCTGTATTGACTCATGGCAAGAACTCGCCCAGCGATTCTTGACGCAATTTGCGGGAAGGCGCCGCACGAGAAAACACTTCTCCCACTTGCTGACAGTGAGGCAGAAGAAGGAGGAGACCCTTCGGGACTTCCTGGAGCGCTGGAGGACGTAGGCTGATAAAGTTGACGGCGCTGACGACGGGACCCTCCTCCAAACAGTACTCCGCCCCGGGAACTTCTCAAGGAGCCTCATCATCGAACCACCCCGCGATTATATAAGGGCCCTACAGCGGGGGGACCGGTACGCCGAGGCCGAGGAGGTGGAGAAATGCCACCATGTCCCAGACCAGCAACGCCCTCGGCCAGAAGACAAAGGTAACCGAGGGCCGGGGGCTCCCCGCAATCATCCCATGGATCCTGCCCCCTCCGGTGATCGCCCCCGGCATGGCCAAGCCAAGCCCGGGGGAGGCTACAAGGGGAACCCGAGGGCTTGGGCACAGCCTGTCCTCCTGGAGCACCCTCGGACACCGTTGACGCACCCCGTCAGCGTCATCCTGGATTTTGTTGAGGAGAGGGGCCTCGTGGAACGAGATTCACGCGCGCCCTCGGAAGTATTTGCCATCAATCCAAACTACCCCTACTGTTGTTTCCACCGACACCAGGGGCACAGGACCGATGATTGCCACCAGCTGAAGACGGCCATCGAGAGATTGATACAAGCTGGCCATCTGTCCCAGTTTGTCCAGGGCCCTCAGCAGCAAGGCCCCCCACAGCAAGGGCCACCCCGAGGGCAATCTGCGAGAGCAAACGCATGGGTCAACCCCAACACCATCCCCCTCGGTAAGAAGAGGGAGATCGGGAACTTGGAAGAAGAGGAGGAGGAGTACCCCCGGTATCAAGAAAAGAAACGTCACATCCTCATGATCACAGGGGGAAATACCGGGGGTGACTCTACAAGTCAACGAAAGAAGTGGGCTCAATCACTTTACGTGGGGGAAGTCACTCATATGCCCCCAGTAAAGCGGCTGAGGGAGGAACCCATTGTCTTCACTAACGCTGATCTCCCC